CCATGGCATGTATCATGTGCACCTTAGTCTCCAGACTGATATTGTTGCACTTCAGCACTTTAGAGAGGTCCCTAACAGCAGTCTTTGCCATCACAATACGTCTTTTAATTTCCTGGCTGCTGGTGCCAACAGTGTTGATTGTGGAGCCAAGCAAACCAAAACTGTGAACAATCTCAATCTCTTCACCATCCATCCTGATGCTGCCAATCGTCCCAGTGGAATCTTTGTTTTCTTGATGTTGAGCAGTGAGTAACTCACCACTCCTAGAGAGCCTGTGTGCCACAGCTCTGAACGCTGCTATACCTTGAGCCAATCTCATTGTCTCCAACACACCTGCCCCCATTACCCCAGTTACTAAGTAAATCTGTCTCATCCAGGGTCTGCCTTTTTTGTGCTGTCCCTCCACCCTCCCAAGCATGATGTCCTTCTCCAAGGACTGGTCCCTCCTTGCAACATGCCCAAAGTGTGTCAGATGGAGCTTCAAAATCCTTGCTTCCAAGGAGCAGCCTGATTTCACCCTCTCCAAGACAGACCTGTTTGTTCTTCTAGCAGTCCATGGTAGATTCAATATACTTCTCCAGCACCACAGCTCAAAGGCTTCGACTCTTCTTTTGTCATCCTTAGTCATTGTCCAGGTCTCTGATGCATAGTAAGCAAGTCATTGTGAAGACCATGGTCAGAGGAGCTTATTTGTTATTAGAATTCATAGTGACTAAACTGCTGTGTACCATCAAGTTGGAACTGACTCCTAGCTGACCTTCCAGGGGGTTTTCAGAGGCAGTAAAATGGTGGGGGAGATTGTGCCTCTCTCTCCTGCAGAGCAACTGGTGGATTTGAACCACAATATCCCTTTGAGTAGGCAGCACGACTCCTTACCACTAGGCCACCAGAGCTCCCTCGTAGTGTCGCTATAGAACAGAGTTAAACTGCCCCATGGGTTTCCTAGGCTGTAGGCTCAATGGGAGAAAGTTGCCAGCTTTCCCTTTTACGTTAGCAGCTGAGAATGAAAGCACTGTACCACCGCTTCTTCCAAAGGAAGCTGGGTGGTTAGCACTGAGTGCATTTCCCTGTGCTTGTATTATACGAAGCCCTTTATATCTACTCGACTGTCCTGTGCATGGACGCTGAGCACCTACTATGACAAGACAGTCTGCCCTCCCTGCATAAGATGGTCAACATGAGGGACACTTGTCTCCTCTGTGCAGACATTCTGGTTAGGGAGACTAACAATTAGGAAGTGAAAGTATAAATAAGTTAATTGCAGATGGTGATAAGTGCTAAAAACAAAAAAACAAAACACCCCACCAAACGTGGGAGGGAGGCCAGTTTAGACAGGTAGGGAAGGGTTCTTTGAGGTGACCTCTGAGCTGAATGCTGCAGCCAGGTGGAGAACATTCCATGCTCAAGGCCAGGGTGGCTGGAGAGCAAAGGTGATGGCGTAAGAGCCAAACCATGGGAGGTTCTGGATAGAGAGGCAATGGGATCTGTCTCACGTGTTCAGTCTGTTCTGACTGCTGTGAGGACAGAGTGTGTGAGGACATTGAGGGCAACCAAGGGGCTTAGGAGCCACTGTCCCAGCGGTTTTGACTCAGAGATGCTATAGGACAGAATAAAATGGCCCTGAATATATCGTGGACTGCTAGAACAAACAGGTTCATCCCAGAGCAGGTGAAAACAGGCTGCTCCTTGGAAGCAAGGATTTTGAAGCTCCATCTGACATACTTTGGATATGCTGCAAGAAGGGCTCAAGATAGAGCTGGGTTCAGAACTGTTGTACATAATAAGGTCACTATGAGTTGCAAGTGACTCAACATAACAACAATAACAATGGAGGGTTTCTCTACAACCTGTGTTATGCTGGTGATACAACCTTGCTTGTTAAAAGTAAGGAGGATCTGAAGCACTTGTTGCAGAAAATAAAAACTACAGCTTTCACTATGGATTGCATATTAACCTCAAAAAGAGGAGCAGGGCGCAGAGCGGAGAGCTGGGATATGGAGGGACCCGGGGAATGGGGAACAGCTTTGCATTTTCCCTTGTGCTCAGCTGATACAGATGATTGGCCATCTGCAGTCCTCCCCTCACTCCAAGCCTGGCTTCTCCAAACGTCAGAACCCAGGTAGCAAACTGTATTTGCTCCTGACTGGCCACTTCAGACCTCATCTTGCTGAGACACCCCACCTGGGGACGGTTTAGGAGAAGAGAGGTAGCTCTGTAGAATCTGCTCTGTTCCCAGCTGTAGGCATTGGTGTGCTCACACGCAAATAATGTTGAGAGCTTTTTGGTGTTTGGGGGGGCTTTTGTTTTTTTTCTTAAAAAAAAAAAAGGTAAAATGAGTAAAAACTTAGATTCTGAAGCCAAATGGCCTGAGTTTGGATACATTCTGAAAAAAAAAGAGGTCCTTACCATTGGGCCAGTGGGTAACATCATGACAGATGGAGAAAAGATTGAAACTGTTAATGATTTGGTCTTGCTTTGATTCACAATCACCACCTTTGGTACCATCAGTCAGGAGATAAGGGGATGTATTACATTGGGCAAGGCCCACTGTCAGGGATCTCTCCAAAACACTGAAGAGCAAAGATGTCAGTTTGAAGACTAAGGTGCACCTGAGTCAGGCCACGGTCTTTTCCATTACTTGCTACGCATCTGAAAGCTGGACAATGAATAAGGAAGGGTGGCGAGGAGCCAGTGAAAGAGAGGAAGACTCCCATCAAGACGGATTGACATGGTGACTGGAGTAATGAACTCAAGTGTATCAGAGATGATGAGGACGGCACAGGAGTGGACAGGATTCAAATCTGTTGTTTATACGGTCGCTATGAGTTGTACCCAAGTCACTTAACAACAACACAGGTTTTTCAAGGGTGTGAGAGTTTTTCCAGGGTGGTTTCCAATAAGTGGCCATTCCGTTAGCAGCATAGCACTTTAACCACTGTGCCACCGGGGCCGCTCAGGAGCTGGCGTGAAAGCTGGGACAAGGGGAAAGCCAGTCAAGCCAGAAAACCTAAGTGTTTTGCCGGAGTCGAGGGTGACAGAGGAATGTTGGGGAGGCAGGACTCCAACAGGTGGAAAACCAAGAAGTCCCAGGGAGCTAAGGTGCGAGAGGGGACACAGTGAACCCAGTGACTAGGGAGGAAGGGGCTGCAGAGGGCACAGGGTAAAGGTTGAAGGTTTGGGAGCTGAGGAGGCGTTCTCTACCTCTTTGCAACAAAGTCTCGCTTTAGATGCGAGGCCAAGGCTCTGGCCTTATTTTATCGCAGGCCTAATGAAGGCAGCTGCGCCCATGGGGTGGTGTGCACAGTGCACAGCAGCAACATTTAAAAAAACCAAAAACCAACATAAAAAAACCGTGTAGCAGGGCTTACACAAATATCTCGTGGGAGTAGCAAGTGTTGGCAAACAAACGTGGAAAGCACGTGGTATTTGTACAAAAATACGTGATTCAAAAAGGATGATGGTTAACGAAGCTGTTCCAGCAAGGAGCGTGAGGCGCGGCTGCAGGCAGGGGGCACCAGAGAGTAGCAGCGACCCTCCAGGCTCTGCAGCCTGTGCAGCCCTGGGCTGCACCACGGTCTTCAGGTGCAAGGCCCCTGCTCCCCACCCACCCTCTCCACCCGAAAGCTGGCTCCGGAGCACGTGTTCAGGCCATGTGACCAAGAAGGGCATGGTTGGCAGACAGACACCACTGCCTCCTGGACTCCAGGGATTGGAGCCCCATAAGGGGCATTTGTTCGCCTGGCGCCGGCAGCGGAAACCTGAGCTGCAGGAATGGAGGAATCCAGGAGGGGCCCAGCCCGCAGGCTTCCAGTCACCCTTTCCTGCTGGGACAATCAGAGAAAAAGCCCAGGGCACCCAAAGCTGGGGTCCCTTCTCTCAGGCCCCCGCCACCGAGCCCCAACAAACTCACAGGCCAGCCTCTGTACAATAGGCACTTTATTAGTGGTTGGAATGCAGTTACATGTGGGGTGTGCAGGCCGAAGGGGGCAGGGTGGGGCAGAAGCGGGAACCCCAAGACCCCCGAACGCCCCCTCTGGGATCCAGAAAGAGGAGCCAAGCTGAGAAGTTGGGGACCCCTGGGAAATGGCAGCGTGGGGGCCAGGGAAACTAGGTCCCCCAAGTTCAACAAGTTTGGCAAAAGTATCCTTCAGGCGACGGGGCTGCAGGGCCCGGTTTGCCAAGGCATCTCCACAGCAAGGGCCCTGATAGCCCCCTGGGAGGCTCCAGTTTCTTTTCTCTCTTATGAAGAGAGCTGTGTCAGTAACAGGCAGAGGAAGCTCCTCCGTCCACCAGGTTTCCATTAAGAAGCCATTAGCTGCCTCCTCCTCACCCCGCCTTGCTCAGCCCTGCCCCTCCCCCAGCAGTCTCTGCCCCTTCACCCATCATAGCTCTGCCATGCCTCCCCCACCCCAGCCACACCCACAGCGAAGGGTACAAAGGAAGGCACTCCTCAGCGACCTCATCTCAGCTGTTGAGACAGATGTGAAAACATGAACAAAACAGAAAAATAAACCCCCCCCAATAGACCCTTTAATGTTTGTCGAGGTTAAAAAACCCATCCAGAAATGCTGCTGGCGGCCACTGAGCCAGACGGTTCGCACTGGGGAAGGGGTTGGTCCAAGTTGGACTTAAGGGGGAAGACAGTGACCCAGGGAGCCAAAGCCCCAGCTCCCTACCGCGGGTGCCTCCCCGATACTTACAGGGGGAGGAGGAGGAGGGAGAGAAAGACTCCCAAGGCAGCCTCCATCACATTCCAGACACTGAGAGTCCCCCCAGGACAGCTCCCCATTGGGGGCTGGACTCATCACCTTTTTAGTCTTGGAGGCTTCATGAAAAAAACCCCCTTGGCATACGAGAGGCTGGCCCAGATCCACTTGTTTTCCAGCAACTGGATGGGAAGTGAGGGGAGTGACAGGCCCTGGGACTGTAGGGCTTCGGGTACTGACCCAGGGGCAGAGCACTCAGTGTGTGGCTTCTGGAGAGGCAGAGAGGACGGGCCTTTACGACTCTGACAGCTTCTTGTTGGTCTTGTTCAAGAGCTTCTTGAGCGTGAGAGACATGAAGTAAGGCCTCTCGGCCGAGCCATCATTCCGCTCCAAGTCCTCCACTGTAGAGAGAGGCCCCAGAGCAGGCAGTGTGAGGGGAAGACCATGGGCTGGGGCCTCAGGGACGGGGTGGGCAGACAAGGGCCACACGAAGCCTCAGGGTTAGGAAGCAAGACGCGAGAGGACCAGAAAGGGGTGGACTGGCGAAGGCTCGGGAGGGATGTACACACGTGGTCCCCACACGCCCAGGCAAGGCAACCCCCGCGTGCACCCCAGTCTGCAGTAAAACAGGAGGGCCTGCCTGCCCCCTAGTCCTGGGAACGCCAGTGGCCTCTCTTCACTCGACTTCCTCCCGCTTCCCCTCCTCCGCACTGCCCTTCAACAGGATGTCTCTCAGCTCGGGCGACATGAAGTAGGGTCGCTCCTGAGAGCCGTCATTCCTTTCCAGGTCCTCACCTGGGCTCCCCCCAGGAACCGGCGGGGAGAAAATGGGGTGATCAGGAAGGGAGGGAGAGAGGGAGGCAGGGGGAGAACGGGGAAGCCCAGCAGGCGTGGAGGAGAGGAGAGAGAAAAAAAGAAAAGTAAAATAAAAAAAGATAGATGGAAAGACCAGAGTTAGTGACAGCCGTGGATCCCCTGAACACAGCTAGAAATCCCAAAGCCAGGGCCTGGGCCAGAGCGTTCCAGCAGCAGCCTGGGGCAGGGGCAAAGGACAGAGCAGCTGCCAGTACACAAACCCCAAGGGGGCCTGGCCAACCTCAGGGAAGCTGGGGCCACACTGGAGGGGAGGTGCTGAGCCCAGTGATGTTAAGTGGAGCCAGGCTCCAGCAAGGGTCAGGCTAAAAGGCCCTGGAGGCAGGGCCCAGCGATGGGGTCACTTACAGAAGCAGAGGAACAGCGTGTCCACACACATCCCGTAGACGCTGAAGAAGCCATGGGCAATCAGGTAGGCGCCGATTATCACCGTCTGGTCAAAGACAGATGAGCAACTGCAGTCCAGCATCTACCCAGGGCGACCTCCAGTCACCATGTCCCCCCAGGCCCAGATCATGCGAATTCCCGCTGCCAGTGCCTGTGACCCACTCTGGGAACCAGAATAACAGTTTAACTCTTCACCCTTGCTAGCAGGGGCCCAAGATCCACCTGTCTTCCCTGCTGTCTCCCACCCAGGGGCCTGTCCACGTGCTGCTGTCCTGACCCGGCTGAGCCTATGACCTCCTTGTCCTTCCACTTTCTGCTCCAAAGCCACTTGGTGGGTTCTAGCTCTTCAGGAAGCCACCCGAAGTCCAGACGAGCCAGGTCTTTGTTTCAGGTCCTCTTAGGACCCTGTGCCCCTCCTCCTTGCCACTCTCCGGGTGCAGTTTGATGCATATTTAGGGTATTACCAGGGGAGGTCTGGTGGTGCAGTGGTTAAATGCTCAAATGCTGAGAGGACAGTGCTCCATGAGGCCATCTGCTTCCATAAAGAAACACTCTTCTACTCTATCCGATTGGAACTCACTGGACAGCAGTGGACTGAATTTAGGGCCTTACAGACTTAATGCCCGCATCCCATTAGACTGTGCAGGGCCTGTCACTGCTTTGTCCCAGCAAGCTGGAGACTCCCTGGGCTTTGGTGCCTGATAAGCATTTGTGGACTAAAGGAAGTGGCCTTCTACTGAGAGAGATTAAATAACGTGCTCAAAATTCTCATCGTAGAACTGGCAAATAAAGAAACGCAGATAAAAATCTAGGTCACTGGGATCCAAGGCCGGTACCCAGACACTGTCCTATCTTAGTGAAGTCACACCCTCCACTGCCCTGTCACCTCCCTGCCCTGGGTCTGGGCCCTCACTCGCCCAGCTCCATGGACACCAACCTCCTCACTGTTTCCACCCAGCCCACCTGGAGTCTTTCTATGTGCTGCTCCCTCTGTTTTCATCTCTTGGCTCCCACATCACCTCCTCACCACATCTAACTGCCGCCTGAAACCTTCCCCACTGACACTTCTCCGCTTCACCACACATTCACCAATGCTATTACTGGATCTGTGTCTATTTACTTCTATACCATAAGCCCCTAGTGGAAGTTCACCCACCCTGTGCTTGGTCCTCGATAAACCAAAAATCCAGATGTTGTCAAGCTGACTGACAGGTGGTAACCTGAAAGGAACCAACCACCATGAGGCTTTTCAGTGGTAAATTTTTGGAACCAGATGACCAATCCTTTGTTCCTAAGTGCCTCTAGGTGGATTCAAACCTCCAACCTTTCAGTCAGTATGGCAATGTTTTAACCATGCCCACCGAGGAACTCCCAGTATATAGGAGGTACTCAATAAATGCTTGTGGACTAAAAAAGTAATCATGCCACCAGGTCTGATCCCACTCTATCTGTTCAGTCAAAAGAGGCAGAGCAAGTCCCAAGACCTCCTTCTCTCTGGCCACATACCAGTATAGGGACCCAGTAATAGTTGAGGGGCGGAGCTGTGTCCTGGACAATCTTGATGCGGTGAGTAAAGAAGAAGAAGGCCAGGATTCCTGGGAGAAATGGAGATGGCTGAGGGTTCTGGCTATCGGGAGGAGTCACCAGAAAAGGAAGAGAGTGGGGATGCCCATCCCAGGTGGTGGAATGGGGCCCCAGTCACCCCTCAATGGGCGCCCACATCCTGGGTGGCCAGCACTTACCTACACTACCCACAACCAGAAGTTTGCCCAACAGGAAAAGGAAGTCAGTCACTTTGTCCAGGACCGCCACTCTGTGGGTGACAGTGAGGGGTAGGTGTGTGAGGGCTGGGTCAGGGAAGGGGGTGGAGCAGGAAGAGAAGAAGGAGAAAGAAGAGGAGGAAGAAGAGGGAAAGGAGGAAGGGGAGAAGGAGGGGGTGGAAGAGGAGGAAGAGAAGGAGGAGGGGGGGAAGAGGAGGAAGAGAAGGAGGAGGAGGGGAGGAGGATGAAGAAGGAAGAGGAAGGGGAGAAGGAGGGGGCCGGAGTAGGAAAAGGAGGAGGGGTGGAGAAGGGGGAGGAGGGGGTTGAAGGAGGAGGAGGAGGAAGGTGTCTCCCTTGACCTGATGATGTTCCTCATGAGCAGGAAGAAGGCGTTCCTGGCTGAGGTGCAGAAGTTGGTGCCATAGATGGCGATCTGCAGAGGGTGGGAGGAGAGGGTCAGCCCACCGGAGGGGCCAGGGGGCTCCTCCCGCCCAGCAGGGGTGCCTGCACCGCTCACCATGATGTAGGCGTTCCGGTTGAGAAATCTGATGAACTTCTCCAGACACCAGAAACAGCACTTGAGACAGGTCATGAGAAACTTGGCAAACTTGTTCTGGGCCGCTATGAGAGGGAGGGATGCAGAGGTGAGGGGGGACCCCGCCCAGTCACCTCACCATCATTCAGGGCGTCAGCAGCCACAGTCTAGAGCTTCCGGAGATGAGGAGAGGAGACACAATTCTAGGACCCCCGGACGCCTGATGCGTGCATCAACCAGGCCCCTCAGGCCCAACCCTGACGAGGAACCTGGAGGCCTTTCAGCCTCGCCTCCCAAGCAGGAACCAATCTTTCCCATCTTTCTAGTTCGGGTGGCTTAGTGTAAAGAGTTGCAATGCCAACCCAAAGGTACAGGCACGGGGGTTCAAATCCACCAGTTGTCCCATGAGAGAAAGACAATTTCCTCCCGTGTAGTTTATAGCCTCTAAAAATCCGCTGGAGGGTCACCTATGTGAGTCCTTTCCAGCACGACAGTATACAAGAAGCAGTGCCCCAAAGTAGTGCCCATCCCACCTCCACAGACCCTCCTAAGGAGAAAGCGGCCTCAGCCCCGCCCTCCTGAGCACCCACACAGCTCAGAATCACTCACCAGCCCTTTTGGCTCCACCCCCTCAGACCGGGCTCATTGCAGAGAACCCTCAAGCCCCTTAGCCCCACCCCTACAGGCAGAAACCAATCACTTGGCCAACACCCAATCTCAGTCAAAGAACTAAGCCCCGCCCACCGCACAGGAACCAATGCCAGCAGCTGGAGGCTGCACCTTTCAAACGCTGGTCCAGATACTCAAGCATCACGCGGATGATCTGCACTATGGCGAGGATGAGGGCACCGAAGGCCAGCGAGCCTGTGTGGTACCTGCGTGCAGAGGGAGTGGTCAGAGACCCAGCCAGGCCTTTCCGCACTGCGTCCTCGACTCCAGGCCACCGGCAGCCAACCTGAGAGCCCGGCTGAAGGAGGAGAAGAGCGGGAAGGCCGGCAGGTCGTCAGGCTTGTTCATGGCCCAGTAGTAAGAGGCGAAGGCTCCAGCTAGTGTGACCTGGCCCAACGCCAGCACGAAGTTGGCCAGCCAGAAGAACATGAAGGCGTTGAAGATCTGCAAGCCCAGCAGTGCCCGGTGGTAGCCCGATTCCCCTCCATAAAAGGCGAACTGGCAGCGTGCCCCGGGGCACAGGCGGGATTCATTGGAGACAGCGAAGGTCTGTGGGAGAGAGGCGCAGCCTTACTGCAGTTGAATGCAACTCATGGGGACCCCACAGGGCAGAGCAGAACTGTCACGCAGTGTTTCCAAGGCTGTAGATCTTTGCGAAAGATGCCTGGCAGAGTTGTCCCACACGTGGCTGGAGGGTTTGAACCTCCGACCTTTCAGTTAGCAGCAGACAGATTAACCACAAGGCATCAGGCTCAGGGTCAGACAAATCATGGGGTAAAACAAGAGTGAAAAGGATCAGTTCAATGTCCCAGAAAGGAAGTCAGGAAATTGGGGGTTCAAAGTGGTCTGTGAAAGAGGTCCTGGATTTCAGTCCAGCATTCCCTGGGGCCTTGGAGAAGCTCTCTCTGGAATCAGCCTGGGGTCATGAGTCAGTGGAGTGGCCTTGGGGGCAGGACCTGAGAGGCAGAGTTCAGTGTGAGCGCCCTGCCAGCCCAGGAATTGGGGGATCAAGTTAAGAGTAAAGCTCCTTGGTGGCCTAGTGGCAGGAAGCTGCACTGCAATCCCAGAGGTGCACAGTTCAAATCCACCAGATGCTCTGCTTGAGAAGGAGGGACAATCTCCTGTACCAGTCAGATCCGATTTGACAGCACACACACACAAATAATAAAATAAATTAAAAGAAAATAAATATTAAAAAAAAAAAAAAAAGAGTAAAGCTCCTCTGCTGGCGAGCTGAAGGTGCCTTTGAGGAACCCTCCGGAACAGAGCAGAGCTGCGCCTCTGCATTCCCAGGGCCGCAAACCTCTACAGAAGCAGACCGCCTCATCGCTCTCCTGCAGCTGCAGGACGTGAACCACTGACCTTTTGGTTAGGAGCCCAACCGGGAAAGCCCTGTGCTTAAACAAGACCTCCTCAGGGTTAGATATAAAAATCTAAACCAAGCCTATGGCTGTCAAGTCAATTCTGACTCCTGGCCACTGTCTGTCAGGTTTTAGAGCTGTAAGTCTTTATATGGAGAGAGCGCCTACCTGTCTCATTTGGAGTGGCTAGAGGCTTCAAACTGGTGACCTTTCAGGTGGTAGCCCGATTTGTTACCTTACACACCATCACCAGGGCTCCTTCAGGAAGAGATTAACTCGAACTCATTGTGCATGAGTCAGTACCAGCTCATACCTGACACCCCTCCCTCCCAGAGGGTTTCCAAGGCTCTAAATGGAACAGGCAGCGATTGCCCATCTTTCTCCCAAGAAAGATTCAAACTGCCAAAGATGTGACCTTTGAGTTAGCAGCACAACTCCCCGTAGGCTACACCACCAGCTCCCTCAGGGCCAGGTTACAGCTGTGGAAAGTAAGGGGTTTCCAGAGGCAAGGCCTGGGTGTCCTGGGGCCCAGAAATGAAGTCAAAAGGGAAAAGGATGAGCGTTTCAGTATCCAGGCTGGGGGAGTCTGCCGGGGGCACAGATAACGTCAACTTGCTCTGAGACAATGCTGGAGCCTCTTCCCCTCCCTGCCTTATACAAGGCACACAGTAGGTGCCAAGTGTTTGTGGAGAGATCCCTAAGTGGAGGTGAGAGGTCGAGAGTAGTCTGAGAGCTGTTGGAGCAATGTCCCCTCAGCCCTTGGCCACTCACCTCAGGGTTGCAGGTCTTCCCAGCCACTGGGCAGGCAGTGTCATTGAAGACCTTGTAGACAGCTTCGTTGGAGGTGGACAGGAAGCTAGAAGCTCATTAAGGAACCTGAGGTCAGGGATCAGGGACCCTGGGGATATGGATCTGTTCCCCCAACCAGGTTCTGGCCCTCTCCCCAAACTGTGAGCCCGTTCTGGGAAGGTCTGGCCTCTACCCGTTCCCAGAGTGTCTAGTGGCAGATAAACCGACGGCCCTGTCCCCAAGCTGTAGGCCCATTCGGGAAGGTCTGGCCTCTACCCGTCCCAGAGTGTCTAGTGGCAGATACACCGACGGTCCTGTCCCCAAGCTGTAGGCCCATTCGGGAAGGTCTGGCCTCTACCCATCACAGAAGGTCTTAATGGCAGATTCACGGCCCCGGCCCCAAGCTGTGGGCCCGTTCCGGGAAGGTCTGGCCTCTACCCATCACAGAAGGTCTTAATGGCAGATTCACGGCCCCGGCCCCAAGCTGTAGGCCCATTCGGGAAGGTCTGGCCTCTACCCGTCCCAGAGTGTCTAGTGGCAGATACACCGACGGTCCTGTCCCCAAGCTGTAGGCCCATTCGGGAAGGTCTGGCCTCTACCCGTCCCAGAGGGTCTAGTGGCAGATACACGGCAGTGGTGGCCCAGTAGGCGATGCAAAGACACAGCAGGAAGAAGGTGCACAGTGGGTACAGCATGGAGCACATGACGTATCCCACAGCCCTGGGGAGGGACAGAGACGGGCGTCAGGGTCCAGGCAGGCTTGGGGATGACCCCAACCAGGCCCCCGCTCCCCTGGTGCCCACCTGCTGGCTTCCTTGATGAGCGCGATGGCGATGAGAATCCTCTTCCGCAGGAAGATGAGCAGTAGGATGATAATGACCTCCAGGATGCTCAGGATGATCACTGCAGGGGGCAGAGGGGGCTGAGCCCGCTGCCCTCCTGGGGTTCCCAGCCCCTTGGGGCTCCTGGGGGGCAGCCGTGGTGAGCTGGGACTCACTGAAGGCCATCCAGGTCTGTCGCAGGTGCAGATACACACGCAAGTCCGTCTGGAAGCCGAGGTCCACGAGCGAGACATCCGAGCCGGCCTCTCCACGCAGGCGGGCATACTCCATGTAGCAGTGGAATATTCCTGCAGAGACCACAGCCCACCGCCAACTCACTCAACCTTGCATAAACCAAAGGCGCATCCAACTCATGGTGACCCTCTATTACAGTTCCCGGGCTGTGCATCATTATAGGAGGAGACTGCCTCTGTCTCCTAAGCAAAGGTTAGAGGATCTGAACTAGCAACCTCCTGATTAGCAGCTCAATATGTAACTGTCGAAAGAGGTAAAATGAGGCCGTGGAGGCAGAGGACCATGAGCGCCTCTCTGAAAGGGCCAGAGAGAGTAAGAATAGCATAGCCCCTTACTGTCCAGAGCAGGAAGCAGATAAAGAGCCCATTGCTCAGCCAGCCTCGTGGTGCCTTTAGAGCCAAAACAGCAAGAGGTTTGTTTATTCATTGTTGACTCACAGGTAATTGTGGCTTGAGAATGAGGTTTATTAAGGAAGTAAGTTGGAGAGTCAGGGAGGCAAACAACATCACTCAAAACAAGTCCAGGTTTTAGCCCAAGTTCCAAGGCACAATTCCCCTAATTCGTCCAGGCTCTGATTTCAGTTCACTAGTCAAATCCAAATCATCCAGCAAGGTTTGCCTCAGCTGCTCCTTCAAGTATCCGGCAAGAATAGCAAAAATCTCTAACTGTGGCCAACACAAATGCAAAAAGCCTCAGGTCACACCTTGCCACACTTTCTCCATGGTAATAACACAGTCTCTCCACTACCATCACCGGGGTCTTGCTCCAGTCTTCCTCGAGTCTTACCACCGCAAGTTTTACTCGCCTCAAGTCTTGCTGTCCACTGTGGGAAGTACTTTGGGTTTTTTTTTCTGTCATCTTGCTGTACTGTTCAACTTTTAGATACATAGCAAGGATGTTGTAGTTGAGTAACTTCAAATCAGAACTGACTCATAATGAATCTCCAGCAAGTTTTCAGAGGAAATTTATCACATAGCAGGAGATTACAATCTTTCTCCTGCAAAAGAAGCTGGTGGGTTCAAATTGCTTATCCTTGGCATTGTAATTTTTTTTAAATTGTATTACTTTTAATGAACATTTACAGAGATTTTGTATTTCCATTCATTCATTGTTGCAGTTTTCTCCCTGCCCACCCTTCCCCAGAGGGAAGCATTTTTTTCTCTTATCCTAGTTCCACAGCTACTGCTGATTTGCAAGACCAAGTGTCTGCAGTTAAGATAGCTGGAGACCAGAGGGGACTAACTCTAATGGCAATAAAAAGCCAACTTGTAGGGAAGCTCTGGTGGCCTAGTGGTAAGGAGCTGCAACTACAATCCCAGAGGCACATGGTTCAAATCCACCAGATGCTCTGCCGGGAAAGGAGGGACAATCTCCTCCTGTACCAGTCAGATCTGATTTGACGGTACACTCACACAAAAATAATAAAATAAAATAAAATAAATTCTTAAAAAAAAAGCCAACTTGTAGGCTAACACCATAGCAGCCAATTATGCCATCATTGCAGAGTAGATACTAAACCTTCAAAACTGCTGTTATGGAGTGGATTCTGACTTACAGTGACCCTACTGGGCAGAGCCAAATGGTGCCAGAGTTCTGACAACTGTAATCTTTACCAAATCAGACAACCACATCTTTCTCCCACAACTGAGTACCTTAACCGTACTGTGCTACCAGGGGTCCTTCTAAAATAGCTAAGGCGTCGCGCTGCCAACCCGAAAACACATAGTTCAAATCCACCAGCTGCTCCATGGGAGAAAAATGGGCAACTTCCTCCCATGTGATTTGGTGCCTCTGAAAATCTAATGGAGGCACTACAACAAGATAAAGGTAAACAATCCAATTGAAAAATGGGCACAGGATATGAACAGACACTTCACCAAAGAAGACATTCAGATGGCCAACAAGCACATGAAGAAATGTTCAAAATCCCTAGCTCTAAGAGAGATGCAAATCAAAACAACTATGAGATATCATCTCACCCCAATCAGAATAGCAAAATTCAACAGAACAACAAACAACAAACACTGGCGAGATTGTGGAGAAACTGGAACCCTTATTCACTCATTGCTGGTGGGAGTGTAAAATGGTGCAACCACTGGGGAAGGCAGTATGGCGCTTTCTCAAAAAGTTGCAAATAGAGGTAACATTTGACCCAGCAATTCCACTACTGGGAATATACCCCAAAGAGACCATAACTGCCACCCAAGCAGATAAAGGCATACCCATGCTTATCGCAGCTTTGTTCACAATATCAAGGAGTTGGACACAACCCAAGTGCCCATCAACAAATAAATGGATAGAGAAGCTCTAGTATATTCACACAATGGAATATTATGCTTCATTGAAAAGCAAGGAACTCATGCAATATTATTCAAAATGGGTGACCCTTGAGGACATTATGCTGAGTGAAATATCTCAGCCACAAAAGGACAAATATTGCATTGTGCCACTGTTGTAAAACAAGACTGCCATCGGGGTTGGGGAGAGACTGAGAAAGATGCGATAAATAATGTTTACTGCATTGAAACAGATGAGGGAGAGAACTATTTAAAAGGGATATGTGTTTAGGTATTATTGTCACGACAGGAGTCCAGAATGAAGGCTGCACAGTGGAGGTGACCTGAGGGGAGGAATGGTAAAACAATGAAAAATTTTTTCTTTCACTCTTCAAAGAGAAGAATGTACTGAGGGGGGGAGGGGTGGGCAGGAAGAAAAGTGCAACAATGAATGGATGGAAATCCAAAGTCTGTAAATTTTCATTGAAATTAGAAAAAAAAAAACAAACCCAAAACAACAACAACAACAACAAAACCGAATGGAGGATCAGCCAGGAGTCAGCTCCAACTTACTGGTACATAACAACTACAACAAGAAGGTATCTATTCCATAGAAGCAAACAAGCAGCTTTGGGGCAGGGAGGTAGTCCATTGTGCTGCTTGCTCCTGCCTCCAGGCCTTTGTACATGATGACTACATGATGACGCCTGCCCCATTCTTTTCCCACGGTCCCTCACATTCTCAGTTTCTGCTCCAATGTCACTTCCTCATGAATCCATCCCTCATTCAGGACCAGGCCCTTCCACTCTCCTCATTCTTACATCCTGCCCTGCTTCAAGGTCCTTGCCAGGGTTCTGGTTTATTTGTTTCTTATCTCTCTCCCCCACGCCCTTCAGGAATACAAGATCTGTGGTTGCAAAGACTTCTGATTGCTGGAGAACTGGCCCAGGACACAGTGTTGCTATTGTTAGGTGTCATCAACTCTCCCACAACTCCAAACAGCCCTATGAACAACAGATCTGAGTGCTGAACAACATCTGGCGCCATCCTCATGATCTGTCATGTTCAAGGCCACTGTGGAAGCCACTGTATGAAATAGGAGGTACTCAAGAATGTGGTTGATTCGCAGATCCACTATGTGCAAATTTGCCTACTCACTGCAATTGATCTGTAACCCTCAAATCAATCTTCACAGCCATTCATGGACACACAGAGTGGGGAAAATTAGTACCTCAATGAGCTGAGGTTAAAGGAGGCCACACGCTACTTTGTTTCTCCTCTGTACACTATAAACAAACAGCCTCCTCTCAGTCTATTTTGTGAAGGTTTCTCTGCATTTCTGGTGAATTTCTGCAGTTGAAGTTGGCCTTTAGCACAGTGCTGAGGGGTTAGCTCATGTTCTAAGGGCTGTGATGCGCCTTATGTTCAAAACAAAGACTTTCAAACTCATTACAGCTGAGTCAGAACTGACTCACAGCTGGTCCTGCAGTGGGTTTTTAGAGGCTGTAACCAGCATAAGATTTCCCATGGTTCTCCTGCAGAGCAGCTGGTGGATTCAAACTGCCTACCTTTGGGCTGGCAGTGCAACTCCCTAGCACCAGAGCTCCCAACAGTGAAAACATGTGTATTAAATGGGTGTCATTCAGACCCAAATGATAGCACTGTTGGCCTGTGAGCTCAACCGTGTATATTCAGTCAGGCATCTTTAAGCAGAAACACACTCAAGACAAAGCAATGTGTTATTGGTTGATTAAAAATGTTGAGATCAGAAGTTTGCTGGAACCTAACAGCGCGGGAGAGGAGAACTTTCGATGAGGTGAATTGATTCAGTGACTCAGGTAATGGGGGTAGGTGTGTCAGAGACAATAAGATTGGCACAGGATAGAGTAGGTTTTAGGGCTGTTGTACATAGGGTCGCTATGAGTCGCTATGAGTTGCAGGCGACTTGACGACACTTAACAACAACTATATCTCACTGCTGTGGATTACATTGTGTGCTCCTAAAATAGGGCTGCATATCTAATCTTTGTACTTGTGTATGTTGGAAATTGGGGTTTTCTTTTGTGATGTTAGACCAGAATGGCATGGACCTTCTACCTCATCACTTCTGAGATATAAAAAGAGCAGACATCGCAGAGACACCCGGGGGAAGATGAGCTCCCAGCGACACTAAGAAGTCCCAGGACTACCGACAAGGGGCTGCCTCAAGCGGGGACAAAATCAATGCCTATTTTGTTGTTACCAAGACATTTCCCTAGAAGCAACAGCCCAGCGTTTACTAGGTCAGCGTTCCTGGGGACTTCAGAGGACACGGCGGCTGTGGCTAACAGGGGGCTAACCCTAACTATACACGCGTGATGAACGAACAAATCAAGGAGGGAAGAAAGGAAAGAAGGAAGAGGTGTTTAGGGTCAGGGTGCTGAGGGGTGTTAAGAGTCAGGGTGCTGAGGGGTGTTAAGAGTCAGGGTGCTGAGGGGTGTTAAGAGTCAAGGTGCTGGGTGTTGTTATGGGTCAGACTGCCGTGTGTGTGTGTGTGTGTGTGTGTGTGTGTGTTAAGGGTCAGGGTGCTGGTGGGGAAGTTAAGGGTCAGAGCACTGTGTGGGAGTGTTAGGGGTTAGGGTACTGCGTGGCCTGTGGCATGCCCTCTGATCCCCTCACTACCCTGTGACAACAATCCCTGATGGAGTTGGGGGAGCAGCAGGCAGCATCAGCTGGGGGACATTCGGGGTTTTCTGCATACCCTATTGGTCTTTTTAGACTAAAAGGAAAATTCCGGTAAAGGAAATAACCCAATCACATCACCCAAAATGCCAGCAAAGACATCACTATGGGAAGGGCGGAGGGCCAGAGAATGAAAGAAAGACCCTCGATAAGACGGAGGGACAGTGACTGTAACAATGGGCTCGAGCTTATCAGAGACGAGGAGGGCACAGGACAGGGCAGGGCAGAGGACAGGGCAGGGCTCAGATCTGTTGTTCACCAGGTTCCGTGGGTTGTGGGTCATAGTCGACCCAATGGCACCTAACAAAACCAGTCAGAAACCACTATAAACATAAGTAATCTGTCCTGTGCCCTCAGATTATAACTGCCCACCAGGCATACCCCCGCCCTTGGCGGGTTTAAATGAACGTTCAGAACTTGAAATCTTGTATTTGGGGCACTGTCTCTCAGTTAAACAGTGTCCTCCCCTCCTCTCGTCCTTACATGGACTATTCCCATGGAGCCTCTCGGTCCAGCCTTCCGAGTGGTAAATACTAATTATCTTCACTTACAGAGGAAGAAATTGAGGCACAGAGGTTGAATCACTAGCTCATGGTCAGAGAGAGCTAGGAAGCGGCAGAGGCAGGATGCAAAGCCCGGCTTTCTGGTCCCAGAATGGCTATCCTTCTGCACTGCACTACGTAGCCTGCTTTGTAATGCCTTTTGCTGTCAATTAAAATACAGGCCCAGGCTCTGGTTTAGAGGTTACCATGAGCCCAGCACAGGCCTGCACTGGTGCTGTGTAAACTCATCCCCCACCTGTGGGTAAGGAGCCCTGGTGGAGCAGTGTTTAACGTACAGGAGTGCTAACCCAAAGATGGGCAGTTCAAATCCACTAGTGCAGTCTCCCCCTGCGGAACTTTATCTTCAGAAACCCGACGGCGGGTCACTGTGCCAGAGCCAAGTTGGTGGCAAGGGGTGGATATCAGAGGGTCCTGAAGTCATTCCCAAATGTTTGCTTTTACAAGAGACACTGAAGTAAACATCTTCACAAATACTCCCAATAAAGGAGGGAGATTACTTGGTGACTGAGGACAAAATTCTTAAACGGCTCATGGCTGCGTCAAAGGCGATGGTCATTTTGCAGACCTGAGGCGGCAAGGGGACTAAGACCAGGAGACGTACCATAACCCAGCACGAGAATCACCATGACAATCATCACCCAGACCATAATGCCGGCCAGGAAGCGGAGCAGGACCACAAACAGGAGGCTGAGCAACATGGCGATGACCAGGCCTCTGGGTGGACAGAAGAGGGGGACGTCAGCTGGCCTGGCCCCTCAGCCGGGAAGGCCCGGGGAGGGACCACTTCCTTTCTAACTTACATGATAATCCAGTACCAGGAGACAGTGTAATCTTCAAATATCCGCATGGCCAGCTGCCGAGCCTCCAGGATCCCGTTGGCACTCCTAAGGGAAGGCAGATGGGCAGAAGTCAGAGCCCTCTCTGTGATGGGGCCAGCCCTAGGGGACGCCCACCCCACCCAGGCCGTGGGGACACTAGGGCAGGACTCACTTGGCGCCCTCCACCAGATCCGTGATGTTCTTTCGATGGCCAAGGCCATCCTCATAGGTAGTCTCATTGCCCACCATGACGACTCCCTTGTGGGCATGGATGGCAGGGAAGCACCGCCGGGCCACTGCAGAGAGTGGGGGATGGTAGCAGTGAGCCATAGGCCCTGCTGCACCCCCTCACGCTGCCCCGCCGTGCGCACAGGACCCCTGACTCACAAGGCTTGCTGGGAATGAGGACAGCCGGGCAGTCGCCATCCCGCAGCACCTCTGCTATTCCCTGCGAGAGAAAGAGAAAGCCAGAGCGCACCATTGCCACGGACTCAATTCCGCTCACCACAGCCCAGGGCCAGAGTGGCGCTGCCACCCCCGCCAGGCGTCTAAGGCATCATCTTTACGGAAGGTGTCCCATCTTTCTCCCGAGGAGCGGCTGTGGGGTTTGCACTTCTCCTTTCAGTTAGGAGCCAAATGCTTTAGCCACTGTCCTGCCAGAGTCCCCCTGTGCGGAGAGGAGGGGGTTAACCCTTAGGCTGGGCCCCACCCGGGCACCAGGGCGGTGTCCTGTTCACCTTGTTGTTTTGGAAGTCAGGTACACAGAACTGCTTGTAGTACCCAAAGTCGGAGGAGGCACGGGCGCTCAGGAAGGTGAGGTAGCGATCCGGGCACTTCTCCACGCAGATCTGGGGGCGGCCAGACAGAAGGAAGTTGATGGACAGGGCTCAGGATGAATGGCTCACCCCCATTCAGAACTGCAAACCCACCCGCGTTTCTTAGGGAGAGGAGCTGGTTCTGTAAAGAGGCTGCAGACGTGGGAAGGGAGGGACAGGTTACCTGTGGGGTGGGACACTGGAATTCCAGCAGGACCAGAGGACTGGCACACTTGACAATGTTGAAGTAAAACAGGTAGGGTTTGTCTCTGGAGTTGAGGGAGGGGGATAGAAACCGTCAAGACGTTCATGGTCACGCGATGTAAAATGTCCTTATGAAAACAATACTGTAACTGCAGAAGGACCAGGCGCTGCTCCATGCCCCACACACCCCAGGCTCCTACCTATAACAACAGCCTCATGGGGTGGGGCTGCCCTGATTCCCATTGTAGAAATGAGGAAACTGAGGTACAGAGATGGTGAAACACTGGGCTCAGGTCACACAGACAGAGGGTGCTGGAGCCTGGGTTGAACTCTTGCTATTTCCTTCCTTCATTAGCCCCTGACATCAGATCAAGTGCTGTCACATCTGGTAAAATGTCACATCTCCTAAAATGTGAGCCGCCTGAGGACAAGACACTCAATGTGTCACTTGGTGCTGAGTCCCTAAGGTCTAGCTCAGGGGCTGGACATCATGGGGATCTCGGAAATATGTGTTACTTGGGTTTATGGACAAACTATGGTGTGGCTGGAAGTAGGAGGAACACTAGGACCCTCTCCCCTGTGCTTAGGAGGAACCCCTCCTGCCCACACCCCCAGTCCCCTCGGAGCCAGACTCACGCATTTTTGGTGCCCTTCTGCCCACAGAACTCGCCTCGGCTGTCAGTGGGGTAGATCACCTTTCGAGGGTCTCCATGTGTCCAGGCTGCAGAGGGATCAAGGGCCAACTGAGGGTAACCCCACTCCTTAGGAACAATCCCAGCCCTGCCCTAGACATCCTGGGTGACCCCTCCTGCTCTGGAACCCCAAGTTCACTCCCCTCCACTCACCTATGATTCCCACAGCTACATAGCCTACAATGGCCAGGAGAAGGAGCACGCAGCAGATGACGTCGGTGCAACCCCTGAGGATTAGAGGGGAAGCATCAGAGCAGGGGCTCTGCTGGGGGTCGTAGGCCTGTGCTGCCCTATATGATACACTCACATCCATGTGCTGTTTGGACACAGGCTTCCGAGTGATACTAATGCTGTGCCAGAGAGGACGTACATTTTCAGTTCTGATAACTCACACTAACTACACTGTCCTCCCAGGAGGCAGCATTCAGTTCTCCACGGGGCAGTGTTAGGTCTCTCTCTGACAGAGTGCTCATTTTACCATATCTTTACCAGCACTTGGTATGAATGTTTTAAAACCTTTAACACTATTTTATTACCCACAAATTAAATAAGAACACGGTAAAATGCAAACCAAAAAGGAGCGTATACACAAAGAAAGAAATCTCCCTCCATAATTTGCCTTCTTATAATCTTAATGATTTTTTTACGAGTAGTTTGGGTTTGTTTAATGCAATTGTGATTACAATACACTCCTTGTTCTGTGTCTCACCTTTTCCACTTAATACATTTCAGAGGATCTAGGTCACCATGTAGAACAACAAACAATTCACTGCCATCCAATCAGAGCCAACTCATAGCTGATTCCCTAAAAGATTTTCAGAGGCTGTAAATAGCACAGGAGACTGCCCATCCTTCTGAGAAGAAGCTGGAGGATTTGAACCACCTGACTTTGGGCTGGCAGCAACCACCTACTGACTAGTCCACCAGAGCTCCCTGCAGGACAGCTGATATATATTTTAATAGCTGTGGTTCTTTAGTGATGTGGCGGTTACACAGATAGGTGCCAACCAAAAGTTTGGCAGTTTGAACTCATCAGTGGTGCCATGCAAAATAAGATGTGGTAATCTGCTCCTTTAAAGATTCCAATACCCTCTCTGTCTTCTCTGCACTAGGAGCAGCTTCCCAGCCTCAGCCGCTCACCCCTGAAAATATATGCCTGCAAGAAGTTTGCCCCCAGCCCTTCCCTGGGCAGGAGCGTCTCTAGCTGTGGATCAGTCCGCGGTCTGCAGTGCTGCTGAAACAACTAGAGACACCTACAGATGAGAACTTCAGCTGCCTGACAGCCTCACGTTCCTGATTTCATTTATCCCTAGTCTCAGCTTCCGTCTCAGGGGATATTGATTGACACAGCGGCCAAGTTTATTGGGCAGAGGCTGCCACACGAGGGCGGGGCGGCGGCAGGCTCTGGAGCTGGGATGGGGACCGTGTTCAGAAGCCTCATCACTGGTTATCCAGGAGTCCTTCTCGGAAGCAGCGGCTCTTCTACGCCATCCTGGGCTTTGCCCTCTCGGAGGCCAGGGGGCTCTCTGCCTGACAGCGGCCTTTCTAAGCCATCTCAACCTCCCACAGTTTGGTGGTTTTCTCCCCCTATGTCTCATCTACCCTTTATGTTCCTTGCCCTGTATCTGCCCAGGCAGACTGGGGAGAGGGACTGGCTCAGGTTTTGACTGAGGGAAGGTCAATAAATACTGTACTAGTAAGGTAAAACTGGGCTGCTCCTTGGAGGCAAGGATTCTGAAGCTTCATCTGACACACTTTGGACATGTTGCAAGGAGGGACCAGTCCTTGGAGAGGGACATCACGCTTGGGAGGGTGGAGGGACAGTGCAATAGAGGAAGAACCTCAATGAGATGGACTTACTCAGTGACTGGGGAAATGGGGATGGGTGTCAGAGACAGTGAGGTTGGCACAGGATAGAGCACGGTTTAAGGCTCTCTTGTACATAGGGTCACTATGAGTTGCAACCCACTCAAATGCACATAACAAGAATAATAATTTAAAAAAAGATTAAAATAAAACAAAACAAGCCCATTGCTCTAGAGATGATTCCATGTCAGAGAGCCTAGAGAAGAGAACTGAATTGTCACATTGTGTTTCCCAGGCTGTTAACCTTCGGCGAGCAGGGGGCTGGTGGGTTTAAACTAACTGTCAGGTTGCAACTGAATGCTTAACAGCCACACTACGGGGTCCTTTCCTCAAAACAGCAAACAAAATGTCACTGAGCTGTCCCATCCTCCCTCAGCCAGAGCAGACAGGAACGCCAGAGGCGGGGTCGTAGCTCCCTATGGACTCGCTGCCAGGGCTCCTATCTAAAAACACTCCTCGCAGTCAAGTTCAAATTGACTCATGACTGACCCTCCCCTGGGTTTCTGAGGCTGTAACTGGCACAGGAGGAGACTGTCCATCGTTCTCCTGAGAGGCCGCCGGTGGATTCCAACCGGCCTTGGCATTAGCAGCGCAAACCCCAGTGGACCAGGCACCCCTCTCCCCCGGGCTCCCGCCCATGAAGATTACAGCTTTGAGAACCACAGGGGGAAATTCTCCTCTGTCCCATCATGTCCCTATGAGTCAGAAATAATTTACAGCAACAAAAACTTAACCACAATTTATCTAAGTCCTAAAGAGAGAGAGTGAGACTGTTGGCTGATTTTTAGTATTTTCATAAGTGAACACGACATTATCGTCCACGTATGCAAAGTTTCCTAGGAACACATGTAAACGTTTTGGAACAAAAAGCTGTACAAGAAAACTTTTTCTATTTTCAAGTCACCAATCCCCCACCCCCCCATCCTCTTCCATGGGAGAAGGATCGGCCATCTCCTTCCGGGCAATTTACTGCCCCTGAAAACCCCCAAGAGGGTCTGCTATGGGCTATTCTGACTTGTTTATACATAACAACCACCCCCTAAAAAACGACTACACCAACTGGCTTCTTAAGCCGCGTATGCACCAGTGGTTTTTGCTAATCAGGAATGGGGAAATTTATATTTTAGCATTCCTTTCTTTTTCCCTTCAGTGAAGTTGACTATCGTTCCATAAACTCACTATCTTCAGTCTCCTTGCTCTTGAAGGGTCTGCTCCAAAATCTTTCACCTATTTTAAACAGCTGCTTGTAAGGTCTCTCTGTATCATGGAAAATGAGTCCTCTCAGCACTGAGTTGTAAACATTTATCACCAATTTGCTAGAACACAGACTGAGGCTGTGTGTGAAGAAGAGAGCTGGGAAGGCCAACCTCCTCCCACCCTGCTCCCTGGACACAAGGCCCTCCTTACCTGTTGTAAATGGGTCCTTTGAAGGTGGGGTCATACTTCTGTGGTGTTCCTGAAAATCAACAAGTTTGACTTGGGTGGACAGAAGGGCAGGATTAAAAAGATGCTAGGAGGGTATCTCCCAGATGCCCAGGGGGTATCTTTATCTACAAAGGACTAGGATTCAGACAGCAGATTTTCTTCCTGGTCCCATCACACCTCCAGGCGCTTTAAGCTGGCCACATCCGAGAGCTCGAGAGCTCACTCGCGTAAAGCAGGTAAAGAGGGTCAGCAGAGAAGATTCTAAATTGTCACAAGCTCTCTCTTTATCACCTGAGGGTCACAGGCAGTGGCGGAGGACTCAAGTCATGGTGGCCAGCAGGGGTGGGGGAGGAATGTTGGAGTTGTGATGTTGGAGAGAAGTTTGGCGAAGGGGAAGTTCCCGGATTCAGGTAAGGGGCAGCGGTTTGGAGAGACTTCAGCGAGGCAGTTCCCGGGTGCTGCTAGGTGATGAGGGGTATCTCCGGGAGAGTTAGCAATCCTGCTCGCCCGCCCACCGGGCGCTCCAGCCCTCCAGTGGCCTGTGCCCTCACAGAAGGGGTGCGCTCCAGGCTCTGGGCATTCCCCGCTCCCACCTCGGCGCCCCTACCGTGCTTCCCGTAGTAATTCTGCCGCTCGTCCCCCATGACCACGGGCGCCCGGGGCGCACGCCTGCTCGGGGCCCTGCGTCCCGCCTCTGGCTGCTCCGCTCGGGCTGCTCGCGCCTCCCAGGGACGGAGGGAGGTCGGGATCCGCCGCCCCGGCTGCTCCTCCTCCCAGCTCCGAGCCAGGCAGGGCGGCCCAAACCGGTCAGACCAGCTCAAGGGGAGCCACAGCCAGGCTCGACTGACAGACAGACAGACAGGCCGAGGGAGGCTGGTGACAGCAGCTGTTCCTGCCACTCAAGGCCCCAGCCCGATTTAGCTCTCCGCACCCCTCCCGCCCTCCCACCCCGGAAACCCTGGGTCACCTGGTGGCCAGGATCCGTCCCCACTACCCTCCCCTGCCACACCTCCTCCAGTACTCCCCGCCCCACTCCTGGGGACCATGGCTCTGAACACTGGCCCATTCTCCAGGTATGGAAAACAGAGGCACAGAGAGGAAAAAAAACTGCTGCCACAGGCCTCGCAAGTGGCAGACTGCCCAGTGCAAGCAAGCCACTAGTGTTTGGGGCTGAAAAGTCTCAAATGAATGATTGAGTGCTATTTAGGTCTTTAAAAAAAAAAAAGTCAACTGCTAATAGTTAAACATTGGGAGACTCCACATCAAAATCTGCATCCCCAGTCTGGAAAACTGGGCTGGCCGTCCTGTCGCCAGCCACACACCATGTCCCTAGCCACACACCATGTCCCTCTGACTTTGCGGCTCCCAAGAGGACCAACACCCCGGCTTTCCATCCCCTGAGAGGGTCATTAAGCCACAGTGGTTGTTCTCTGTCTTGGGCATCATTTATTGAGGACCTACTGGGGCTGCAGCTCTAAGCTGGGGGGCTGCTACAGCCCTGACAGAGGGACCCCAATTCCTGGCTTTGTGGGGTTGACATCCCCCACCCAGTGGCTCTGATGTCAAATGCTCCTTCTGCCCCATCTGAGCCAAAAGACACAGCCCAGCACTTTGCCCTGAGCTTCCGGGTAGGAGCCCCACTGGCGATGCAGGGTATGCTGCGGGCTGTACAAACCCACCAGTCACTGCTTGGGAGACAGAAGGATGAAACAGTATGTTTACAGGCACAGAAACTCTGTTGTGGGTTCTGACACTGTAGCTGTGAGTGGGTGGAGCCTCAGTTTCCTCAGCCATAAAATGGAGCTAAATGATATAACCCAGACTGGGGGCTCTGGTGGCCTAGCGATAAGAAGCTGCACTGCAATCCCATAGGCACACAGTTTGAATCCACAGATGCTTCACTGAAGAAGGAAGGGCAATCCCCTTCTGTGAGATTTACTGTCTCTTAACACCTGCTACAGGGTCCAGCTCAACAGAAGACAGCAACAAACTGGCCTAGATGCAACAACATCCAATAAGAGGGCTGGTGATGGGGTGGGCGGGGAGAAAAGTGCAACAATGAATGGAATTCCGAAATCTCTGTAGATGTTCATTGAAATTAAAATAAATAAATAAAGGATTGGTGAGCACGACATCACTAAAGAAAAGGAAGATAACAGAGAGATGTGGAGAGGGCGCCATGGAACTCTGGATTACGGGGAGGAAGTGGGGGAAGTATAATTACACTGTGAATATTGTAATTAGTGTTTGCAGAACAAAATGGGCAGGAATGAATGAACGAAAAAGCGATTAGCTCTGTAATCCTTCATTCAAACCACATACACGCGTGCACAAAAATCCGGGTGGGTGGGGAAACAAGGCATGGCCTTTTAAAAAAATGAGCTGATACAGTTCACAGGGTTTGCAGCTGGGAAGGGATGCAGTGGATTGTCTGTCAGTGTGTGTAGGGGTGTCTTCAGGCAATGAGCGGCTGTGGGGCTAGAGCCAGAGTGGGGCAGAGAGCCCGTGTGTGGGGTTATGGTCCACTTGCAGCACACAACTGCTGAATCATGGGGTGAAACCTTCAGTTAGCATGAGATGGTACTACTAGCATGGACTGTCCAGTCGACACGGAGCAGACAATCAGCAGGGGGTATCCGTTCAGCTAGCTGGCTGTACCCCCATCCCTGCTCACAAAGTCTGCTCCAGGCCAACGCTATCCCTTCACACTGACCATATGTCCCCATGCTGATGGCACATACCTCTCACATCCTGGACCTAGTCTCACTTTTCAGCCAGCTGTACAGTGGACAATGGAGTGGACTGTTTAGCCTGAATGGGGTGTGCTGTCACATGGGGTTACATGGCCAGCGTGGTTGTACCCCCCTGGTGCTTAATTACCTGCTCCCTCAAAGTCAAGCCCTGCCCAGGTGGGGCTGTGGTCACTTAACTCCTTATGTCCCCAAAGAAATGCCTTTTCCTGTGGCCGAGGTGACCCAGCTGGACCCCTGGATCACAGGCTCAGCAAACAGGTCAGGCTCAAGGCTCCGAGCTCTGCCTGGGAGGTGACCAGAACTTTCAAAGAAACCTTACAACCCTGAGGTCCCTACCAGCCTGAGGGCTGCCTAGTGGCCAGGCGGCGCTCACATTTGGCCTTTCAGGGACACTGGTGCTGCCGCAAGACTTAAACCACCAATCCCACGATGTTGACCTCCTCTGTAAATGTAGGATTTCCAACCAACGGGAAAAGAAATCCTCAGCCAACAGTTCTGTGAATTTGGAAGAAAATAAACTTAACCATGATGCACACTAAATTCCACACAGATTAATCATGTGGATGTGAAAACCTCCAAGTATGACAAGCAAGATAGACAAGGACTATTTCTTTTATCTGAAAGGAGGTGAGATGAGCAGGGTGGAGGCAGAGGAGATAAGAGAGTATTTGGTGTTTCCTGAAACAGTCAGAATGGGGGGGGGGGGGGGGGGGGGGGGGGGGGGGGGGGGGGGGGGGGGGGGGGGGGGGGGGGGGGGGGGGGGGAGCAGAGGGACCTGCCAGGTTAGAATGGCTGGTGCTGATGAGAGGAGTTCACCACCTTTCAGACGCTGGCTTGGTGCTCTCTACCTGCAATTGAAGCCATATCATCAACCCATTTTACAGCTGAGGAAACTGAGGCTCAGAGTGAGAGAGGCAGCTGTGGCTGATCTCCATTCCAGGTTTGATGGGCAGGTTAAGAGGCCCTGAGGGTATGTGGCCCAGAGCATGACAAGGTGACAAGGCAGGCTAGGAAGGGCTGCTATTTGTCAAATGTCAAACAACTGAGCTGAGCCGGGCAGTTTGGAGGCTGCAGGTGGGACACATGGCAGGGCCACAGCTATATAGTGTGAACCTGAATAAGGCTGGAGAGAGGGGTGGCTGGCAAAGGCTCCTCACAGGGCGGGGCTTTATCAGCTTCCAAGAACCAGAGGAGGAACACTGGTGGTGGGGCCTGATGGATTTCATTAGCTTTTATCAGGAGCCAGTGCAACAGGCCTGGAGGGTGTGGTGTAGAAAATGCTAATGGATTCTACTAATTGATTCAGGATAAGAACTTCCTGAATCATTGCAACAATGTTAAAACACAGGAAAAGCGCCAATATCCCCCATCTTACTATTTCCCAGATATCAGGCTGCTTCTAAAATGATCTATAAACTCAGTGTGGTTTTCCTTATTGTGTTACTACTGCTTTATGATGTGGAACCTATTATCCCCATTTGATGGATGTGGAAACTGAGCTCTAGAGAACAAAAGTAACATGTCCACGGCCAAACAGCTGCTGCGTGGCACAGCCTAGGCCCACAGCGCCTGGCTTAATGTCTGTATTAGTTTCCTATTGCTGCTGTAACAAATTAACAGAAATGTGGAGGCTTACAGCAACACACACTTACATATTATGGATCTGGAGAAGTCCAAACTCTTTCTCAATAGCCTAACATTGAGGTGTGAGCAGAGCTAAATTCCTTCTGGAAGTTCTGAGAAGATAATCTGTTTCTTCACCTGTTGTAGCCTCTAATTTTTGTTGTGTGCCATCAGGTCAGAACCGGCCCGTAGCTGACCCTCCAGTGGGTTTTCAGAGGCAGTAAATCTCATAGGAGGAGACTACACATCCTTCTCCCATGGAGTAGCTGGTGGGTTCAAACCACGTGCATGGCTTCTTACCACCTGTTATGTGCCATCAAGCCAAGTAGGACTCATAGCAACCCTATGAACCCTGTGCCAACCTCATCTCTGACACACCTGAGCCCTTTGCTGCAGTTACTTTGTCAATCCACCTGGTTGAGGGTCTTCCTCTCTTTCACTGACCCTCCATCTTTCCAAGACTGATGTCTCTCTCCAAGAAATATCCTCTCCTAACAATAGGTCCAAAATACGTGAGATGAACATCCCATGGATGGCCAAGAGCACGAACAGATATGTCTTGGAGATGATGCAGCTGGAGTGCTCTTTGGAGGCAAGAACGATGAGGCTTCTCTTCGTATACTTTGGACATGTTGCTAGGAGGTGCTTTTATTTCCTCCCACATTGATGACTTTTATGGAAGAATCTTGGTCAATGCGGAAGAAATGTGGAAGAGAATTTCACATTTTCCTAGTACCTAGATTTTCTGGAGCTAAGGGAGCTGGATGAACCCTTAAAACAAATGCCCTCAGATAATCTTTGAAACGTAAAAAAAAAAAAAATCAAAAACCCAAACCAAAAAAAACCCCAAAACGCTACCAGAATTTAAAACCAAACAAAATTAATAGCATATTAATGTGATACCACTAAATATCACCTGCAAGTAAAATCTTGCTGAAGATTTATTTGCGTGTGTGGTGTTGGAATTATTTTTTTAACATCATGTTTTCTTTTTTAAAATCTTTAATGTTTTCTTTTAATTTTTTTTACCTTGTTGCATGAAGATAATTTTAAAATTTCTGGAACAGTACATCAACAGGGAATTGCCAGCAATTCAACATGGATTCAAGAAGAAGTCATGTCATAAGAAAAATATCACTGCTGATGTTAGGTGGATCTTCGCTAAAAGCAGAGAATACCAGAAAGATAGTTACTTGTGATTTATTGACTATGCAAAGGCATTTGACTGTGTGGATCATAACAAACTATGGCTAACATTGAGAAGGATG